CAAGAACTCGGTAATTTAATTGCAGATCTACTAATGAGCCAATTGTGCTGCACTGGAAATTAGTGCAGCTAGAGATGATAATGATGTAGTTAAAGTCAATCACTCTTACTGAGCCTTAAGATGACATCTAAAATTAGGTGAAAGTGGGCTGCGGCGTTGGGAGTTTCGAGGGGAGCCTTCCAACGTTGCCCAAAGCATAAGGGCACCAGCATTCCAGCAACGCTTGCGAATTCACTAAGCTACATCTAGGCTGGCAGCATGGTTGAGAGATCTGCAATAATCATTCTCAAGATGGCACGCAAAGCGTACTGTTGACACACGCTAGAATATTCGCTACCTCTTTGCCCGGAAGAGATTTCGTCGTATCAGATGACAGTGCAATCTCTCCCATTTCATCTGAGCATTGAGATGAAAGACGAAGCTCCTATTCCTCGGCAAACGAAAAGAAAAGTGACGCCTTAGTTGAGTGATACGTCTCACCTCAGCCTCCCTACAGTGACACATCGAGCGTATCCGATTAGCGCCCATATAGTGAAACAGGTGGACTCACTTCACAGAAATTTCAGACGCTGGCCGGGCAATAAAGCAGTTTCATTACTGATCAAATGAGACAGCTGACAAGAACGTCATGGTGGCATCGAGTTTCCCAGATTCCGGCCGGAGTGGACGTTACATAATGCCAACAGCCGTCAACAGCACGCCTGTTTAAATGCGTGGGACACTGTAGTTCGAACTTCTTAGAGCCGGGTGTCAGTTAATCACGAGTACATGTAACCGACGTCTCTATAGTTCTAAGGGCACTTGCGCTTTCCACTACTTAGAGGCAGTGCAGGGATTCTTAATAAGATGGCATTTGGCGTGGCTGGAGGCATTGTGTGGGCTGCGGCAATATAAATGTATGTGGTTGAACTCGACGTGAAAGTCGGAAGTAGTGCGGAATAGTGACGCGCCTTCCATTCAGCGACGCTCGCGTTCCCGTACAAGCGCGCGCTGTCGTTCCAAACGTCCAGCATCAATGGCGAGAAAAAAAAAAGATCCTTCATTTCTGACGCGGTTGCGCCTCCTCCCCTTCTGCTTACACTCGCTTCCCTTTCCCATACCATGCTATACCCTACTACACATAGGTCATGCTATGATCTACCGTCCCCCTCCTCGTTTCCATCTTTCTTCTCCACTCTCGCATTTTTCCTCCTCACCCAGCTTTTTTTCTCCGCCCCTCGCTATACCATCCTTTTCGAGTATAAGCGATGTTTTACTTGACCTCTCTTCTTCTCGTCCTCCCCACGCTCACATCCCTCCATCTCACCCTCATTTACCTTTCGCACCCGCTTGCTAAACTGTGGCTATGCTATGCTTCTTTCTCCCCTCGTTTTAGGGGCAAAGCTCCTTATGCCGTGGGTCGTGCGTCCGCGATGTATGTAGTAGTAGTAGTAGTAGTAGTAGTAGTAGTAGTAGTAGTAGTAGTAGTAGTAGTAGTAGTAGTAGTAGTAGGTATGCCTCCACGGCCGCGCTAGAGGAGTGGCACGCACGCATTCTTTTGAATTGATGAAGTAACCCGCGCACGTTAGTCATAAATAAAAAATAGTTGTTTCCGATAAAATAACCTGCAGAGACGAATATCGGGGTGATGTAATCTCCAACTAAGTTTGCCTTAAACTTAGTGCTTACTAAAAAAAACTTGTAACTAAAGGACGAACTTTTAGTACTATATCTGACCACAAAAGGTTGCCATGCACATTAAACTCGCTGGACATAACGTCCTTGGGTTTAGCAAGCGTTGGGCCGCGCGTACCGCTCGTCTAGCCCGGCTGTGCCACCTCTCGCCTAGTCCTTCGAATGTCCACTGGATGACGGTACTTCTATATGATAAATATATGATGAAAAGATGCGTGATTGCAGTGATTAGAGTATTCACTAGATGAACGGACGAATGGACCAACGCACGGACGGATGGACGCAGGGACGAACGCAAGGACGGACGCAAGCATGAACGCATGAATGGACGCACGGATGTACGCGCGGATGGATGCATGGACGGACTCATGAATGGACGCACGAATGGATGCACGGACGGACAGATGGATGGACGGACGGACAGATGGATGGACGGACGGACAGATGGATGGACGGATGTGCGGATGGACTGATGGATGCGTCGCCCCACTCATCATCATGCCTTCCGTGAATACGCTGGGAAATTTTTCGCTCCTTTTCACCCCCCCCCCCCTTCCTGCTCCCACCTCTTACTCTACTAATCTACTCATGGCTACAATACACCAATAAGAATACCAGTAAAGGAGGGTTTAAGACTAGGACATACGATCTCCCCAACGCTATTTACCGACTGCTTGTAGGAGGTTTTCAGAGGCCTAGAATAGGAAGAGCTAGGGATAGGAGTTAATGAAGTGTACCTTAGTATAACCTGCGCTTCGCTGATGACCTTGCAATGCTGAGTAACTCAGGGTACTAATTGCAATTCGGGATTACTGAATTAGACAAGGAGAGTAGAAAGGTAGGTCATAAAATTAATCTGGAAAAACGAAATCAATGTACAACCTAGGAACAGTGATTTCAGACAGGTAGCAGTTATCATCCCCAGGACGGTTTTATGCCCTCCCATATACTATTCTAAACCATTATCTACTTCTCTAAACGTAGTTTTTAATGCCCCACGGGACAGTTTTCAGCTCTCCCATAGTAGAGTACTATGTATCTATAAATCGTTACCCATACTTTTTTTTCTAACAGTGCACTTAAAGTTGCAAAAGAGACATGTCTATGAGGACAGGTAGTAACCGGAGAGCCGAACCACTAGAGTGAAATAACTAGAACAATAAAGATGGGGGGGATCACATTCGGCAAACATTCTCAATTCACGACTGGCAATCTACAAGTAACCTTCAATAGGAAGCTATATAACAGCTACATCTTACAGGTACTTACCTATGGAGGAGAAACCTGGATGATTACAAAAAGTCAACTTAAGTTGAGGATGACGCAGTGAGCGATGGAAATGAAAATTCTATGTGTAACCTCAATGGACAAAAAGAGAGCAGTTTGGGTCAATGAACAAGCCAGGGTTAAGGATATCATAGTTGAAATCAAGAAGAAGAAATAGACATGGGCTGGGCACCTAACACGTATACAGGATAACCGGGAGTCATTAAGGGTAACTGACTGGGTTCCCAGAGACGGCAAACGCACGAAGAGGAGACAGAAAGTTAGGTGGGCCGATGAGATTAAAATGTTTGCGCGTGTAATGTGGCAGCGGCAAGCACAAGACCCAGTCGACTGGCGGAACACGGGAGAGGCCTTTGTGCTGCAGTGGGCGTAGTCAGGATGATGATGAAGAGGATGATACGCTTTATCTCCTGCCCGCCTCTTTTTTGTCCTCCTCACATCACTCCTCATTTCCTGTTGCCGCCCGCTTGCTATACTATACTATCGTATACATGGCTATGCTACACAATATTTTGACTGTGTGTCAGCTCACGTGAATAAGCTATGCTTTGTTATCTCTCTTCTCCTCAGCGTCACTTTTCTCTCCCGCAGCCTCACTAAAGCCTACTGAGCATGGTTATGCTAGCGCATGCGTATGGCGAGAAGGCTACCGGTGAAGTCACCTGCTGGTACAATGTTGTTTGGAACACTTTGGCGCCTCATTCATGTATACAGCTTGCAGGCCTAATCCTTCGTCATTGCTGTGTCAACTCACCCTACAGCTAGCATCGGTGCGATAATAAGACTTATAAGGCGATATACGTATGTGCCGCATGAGGCGCTGACCACGAAAATAATGCGGCGTGAAATAAAATCAATTGACCAGCGTAAAAATTTCGCAATAGACACCAGAGCGTGAGAATAGAGTGTCCCACTACAGAGTTACGCCAGTCGGTCAATGAGCAATGTTGCTTGGCAGAAACATAGTACGGCACCAGTTGCAACACCATCTCAGTTACGTAACGAGAGGGTCACTGAAAGGTGTCATCTTATTAAGGTGAACTTGGCTATATTTCATCATCATCATCATCATCATCATCATCATCATCATCATCATCTTCATCATCATCATCATCATCATCATCCTACTCTACAGGATAACCTAAGATGCTGGCCTCGAAAACGTGGCTTGCTGGACACAGACTCACACGGCTTCTAAAAATATTGATGTTAATGATGATGATGACTCTTTCTTTGAGTCTTCTTACCCAACGCATAAAGGGTCCTGTTTGACAGTGTTCTATACTTTAATTAATTTTTGCGTTAAAGCTGTCTTGAGTAAACTGAGCGTAGTATTTTGTAGCGTGGAGCAAGGACAAGCCGAGTAAATAATAATTAAACAAACGCTGAGGCCCTCCAGGGAGCGCATAGGAAACCTCTTGATCGAAAGGTGGTCGCTATCTCTTCCCACGAAAGTGCTCAAGTGGTGGATTGGAAGTAAGGACACACTGTGAAAGTCGACGCGAAACCCACTAATCTCGGTGCATTTCCCACCTTACGTAGGGCAGGAACTCATACATCCAAGATTTTGTAGTGCATATAACTGGGGCGCACTTTCATGTCCCATATATTACCGTTTAACAAATCGGCCAATAATAACAACCTATAAATTTTCTTGAAAGCTTCATTTTATTGATAAGTCTGTGCTGCTGTTTCGCATCGCAAGTTGAGATAGATATATTTAAGGTTTGTCATTTTTTCCTAGTCACTGTCATATATTGATATGCACATTTGAGCACAAAATTCTACACAGCTTACCACTATGAGCTGTATCTGTGCGTTCTCGTTTTTGTACGCAAGAGAAGGCGTGCGCATTTAAGTTAGATTAATTGTTCAAGCTTTTGTCAGAGATATGCAGTACACAATCAGCGCTTTTTGAAGTTCCCATGTGCACGTACGGTTGCAGTACCCTTTTACAGTCGACGCTCACATCTGCGATCGTGCAGCTGGACACGCCACAGTGGTGTGTGTGGCCCCGGGACTTGTAAAGAAAAACTGACCCGTGTGCAGTCCGATGCGCAGCCGCAGTTGCTCGTGAGGTCGGTGGTGGATGGTGAACGAGCGCACGTTGTGCAGGAGAGCCAACGACATTCGCGCTATCTCTCTCGCGTGCAGGTCGCCATTGGGCAGCGGGATTCCCGAGACCACCATGTACGCGTCCCCGATGGTTTCCACCTGCACCAAGGTCAGAGCCAGTGACAAAAACGAAACAAGAAAGTATTGACAATTACGACACTCTTTATTGCGAATTATGAGCGTAGCTTTGTGACAACGCCAACAATATACGATGTTTTAGTTATCCGTAGTTGTAGCGATGTAACAATGGATGCATATTACCGCAGTTCTCGAGCGCTACGCACATTACTCTGCATATTGCAGGCATCGCGAACCCGCGAAAAGACGACCGCCCCGTTACGACAAGCGAGGCCAGCCGCCAGCCCTGCGTGCGAAAGAGCTACGACTGAGGGTCCCAGCGCGTGTGACGGAGTATGAAAGCCAGGTTAAGAGGCCACAGCAGCTCTCGATATTCACGTACTCCGCCTTCACTCACTTTTGTCCTCGTTGGCGCCGACACTTCCGACGTCAACGGCGACACCTCTCAATGCAGAAAGTGCCTCTAAAAAGCAGCGCTCTAAAAGAAGCACTGAGTGGAGAAGTGGGTGATTGTAGTGTGTACAAGGAGTACGGAAAGAAACGCGTGGCGTGCCATTTATGATCACGCTGTTTCATGGAAGGCTACGAAAAGATGCTGGAATACTTCATAGTATTATAGATGACTCTGTTGGCCGTAACAGCGTGAAAAGAAACGCTGAACCGCAGAGAATGCAGATCTTATACACAGTTTGTCTTTTTTACCACGAGCTTTGTACATATAAAAAAGTTATACAAGTGTTAAAGTTGTACACCGTGTCAATCATTAATGAATACCTCGCACACATTGAGCACAGGATGTGATGGCATCTAACGTCGGCAAGAAGTTTCGAGACCTGTTATGGAAGCACAATCGCACAAGTATACACTGCGCTGTTTAAAGATTGATGAACCAAGTCAGTATTTTCTGCGTCTTCCGATGGAGGCGGAAATGTTGTAGGCCCGTGTGCTCAGATTTGGGCGCACTTTAAAGAACCCCAGGTGGTCGAAATATCCGGAGCCCTCCACTACGGCGTCTCTCATAATCATATGGTGGTTTTGGGACGTTAAACCCCACAAATCAATCATGTATTTTCTGCGTCATCACGTGCTCAGAAAGCCAGTGTGCAAATTCCTATTGTATCGCTATCTTGCTGCTTCTCGATAATATTAAACTCTGTCTTATCTTACATAAAACCGGTGCATACGCGATATTATGAAAAAAGACACGCATTGTTTTACAGCTTTCAGATTATATTAGAAGTTGCATGTTGTGTATATGCTTTGAAAGATGCGACGTTGTGGGGATTCGGAGAAGCGCCCATTACGTAAGCGCACGTGCATGTGACTTTTCAATTTTCTCGCAAGACACGGCTCTTGAAAGAAGGGATGTACGCGCTCGGTCTCAAATTTGGACACTTGGTAGAGAAAAACACGCTAAACAGGCGCATGGTAGAAAAAAAAACACGCTAAAAACTGAGTGACACTGGGAAATAGACATAACTTAGTCTGAACATTCTACTGTGTGGTTCAATAGTGCACTTTTGACAAGAAAAATAGTAAGAGAAACACTGGCTACTTATTGCCACAGTTGTCCTCGACAAAAGTGGTATCTCACGTACGTTAGGTATGATGATCAATCTCCAATTGGCCAAGTTTTCGAATTTATTAAAGTTTATTCCAAACCTACACATTGGCTCTCTGATCTAGGCCGAAGCCATTCTTCGCGGTAACGTTTTGTGTTTCCACCATTTATCGAGGCTTTTACCATTAAAGCTGCATTGAAGATAATTAAAGCGGGGAATGAATTAAAGGTTGCTATTGAAAGCTCGAAAAAGAAAACAGTTTTCCCCGGTGGTTTTATAATGCAGGCAATAAAGGGTTAATTAATAGGGAAGCTGTTCTTTGTCGAGCGGTTCATGTCCGAGATTCGTGGGGATGATATGCGCCAGAGGCACTTCAGGTAAGCCCCATTGATCACAACTGGTCCGCTAAAAACTACAGAGGCAACAGTTAGGACAACGAGCGGGTGTGAACCACCGAAGTCAAAGCGGCCAGTAAGAAAACAATCGTTATCATAAAAGTGTAAACCAAAATGGGCTAAACTCCATTAAAAAATAAGAAGAAAGTTAGCCCGAAAACTGGTAGGCGGGTTATCATTTGATAGTCGAACCACGGCCACGCGATGCTTTGTCCTTGTTAAAGTTGGTGTCTACACAGCCGCATCAAAGCTTACCAAACCGTGTTAATTAATCGCAGTGCTAAAACACACTCAAGCGTATCGAAGCGGCCTTGCCGCACTTTTTGAGCATGGTCAGATAACGCTGCGGATCGATGGTCGAACTTCCCCAGAACACGCCAGCCAAATATTATAGCGCAGCACGCGGCCTGGAATTTAGAATAAATTCTCGAACGTTGAGCAACAAATTGCTTTTTCTTCTCTCTGGAAATAATGACACGAGAACAAAATCACTCGTCACAGTGACCGTATCGTACACTAGATGATTTGAGCATGGCGCACTCGGTCGTTACTGCTGCCACCGCGGGAGGCGGCGACTTGTCCACGCAAGCGCGCACGATCGCACTAAAACCGCGTATTTGAAGAAAAAAAAAACAGATAAAGTGCTCAAAGACACGAGGCAAGGGTGACGTATTTTCTTTCCCCGTGTCTTTTTTTCCTGCTTTCCTTTCAGTTATTTCGTCGGGACGAGAGAACAATACCATTGGGGCATGCGACAAATCGTCGCAACTTTGCACGTACTCGACGGATTCTAAAAAAAATTTCTCGTGGTGAATTCATGAGGCAATAAGCTCCTTGAGTGAATCCATTTCATGGCTACTAAAAAAAAAGTGTAGCCGGGCCCCTTTAAACGAAATTTCCTTTATAAACATGTGTTTAAGGGTGTATAGCTAAGATGCAATAAATCTACACTAACACCTCAACCCTTAACAGAGAGTTTAATAGAGAGCAGTGATATGACATATATGTAAAAGACTTGCACAAAACAGAAATGCGTTAGCCTGACGTATACGCCACCAGCATCGCTATTTCACCGGTGTCCACTAAGCGGAGCTGGTTTTACACAGCTCCACGCTTGTTGGACTGTTAAGCTCAAAACTGGTGGGAGCCCTTCAATGTCAGCAACACTGGAACATATATTAACGTGTATTTATACCAAGCGCCGGGATTTCGGCATGCACTGATGTGGAATTTAGAAAAAAAAGTGAGTGCTAACAACGCGCTAAGATACACTCCAAGCTCCGAGCTGAGCCGCTGCGCAGGTAAATCTATTCGGCATGCAGGGGTAACGGTTATACACTCACCTTGTATACATCGAATTCCTCTATGACGGAGTCGAAGCACGTGTACAGATCATTCAGCAGGTTTACTACCTGAAAAACGCAAACGATGAGATAACATTCAGCGGTATAATAGAAGGGGCTACAGTAGGTGAACATTCACAGTATTCAATCTGTATTTTTCGGGCCGTAGCAATAGAATGCATGATAACAACCTGTTCAAGAGTCGAGGAGTAGCTGGCACCACATTTTGTGTGCTAACATTTTAGTTCTTCATTATTAAAAGGTTATGCAGCTCATTTAAGCAAATAGTCCGTATTTCGCTTGCTTTTTTTGCATTGTTGATAGTTTAGGAAAAAAAAATATGTACAAAAAGCAACACTCAAAATAGCGAGAAAATAAAACGGGATACTGGTTTGTACGATACATGCAGTTAAAGTTGCTACAAGATTACTTTTTTTATTTGAACAAATTTTTCAACTTTCACGTGGCAAAATAATTATGCCTTAGTACCCTTCTTTTTTTAAACATACTTAGCATCAAATCAGGATATGTTCCACACAGGTTGTACTCTAACAGGTTGAGCTGTTCTCAGAGATTTCAGGATAACTCTTCTTTAAGAACCACCATGCTTATCGATGGAAGTCGCCAAAAAGAAATTAATGACTCGATGTCGTCGATAGCACTTAATTCGTTTACTCTGTTTCGCGGTCGTGATGATAAGGAAGGTGGCAGTCAGACTGTTGTCACAGCGACCACATACCTAGGTAGATTCATCAATATAAAGTCTCATTGCCGTTTTCTTCTTATAGATACTGACACTCGGAGTAGTTGGCAGAATGTAAGTACCGTACGGAATGACGGAAAATGAAATGTCGCGTACATTGGTCATAAGAGCACAGAGAATCAGTGCAGGTCACAAGACTGTCGTCTTCCCGTATTGTACATCTAAACAAAGTGGTAACATCGCCACGTTCTGATTCCGGAGAAGTGCCGGCCGATCGAAGATGATCATAAATAAGGGGTCGTGACCCAAACACATATCAAGAGCACGCGATTAAATGCGCCTAGACGTATGGAATCGATGCCTCCTGCAATTTTATCGCAGCCCTGAATTTCAGCGGGCCTCGATGTTTAATCTGAAAAGCCATGGACCGGAACGCAATTCTCATAATACTTGCCTAGCTGTTGTTTGTTTTTTCAGTAATACAGTTACATAGTTTAAAGTATGCAATGACAAAAGCGAGCGATGCCCGGCGACCGAGGACAATGCTTCATATTCTCACCGACACGTGAATTTTTCACCGGTTTGGTGTTTGTATTGCGTATTAATGCTTCCGGGATGAGAGTAGCAAGCACTATCGACCCAAGTGTGCCTCAATTACGCTATAACACCACGGCCACGTCTTGTCGGATATTCACGCCGATGAGTAATGCATACTGCTCTTCGGTCGATTTGCGAATCGTGGTAACGTCACTGCCCCTATACATTTATCGGCGCACAGAGCGGCTTATAAAACCTCGAAAACAAAGAAGGAGGCACAGAAGCAGACAAATAAGATGAAACAGGATAACGTTAACCACACGTAATACTCAACCTATGGAGGGCAGTGTGGTGGTGCATGAAGTAGCCCCACTCCCCTTGGTCAACTAAGTGACGTGTGACACCGACTGTGCCCCATGACTAAGGGTGTGCACACCCTTATTCAGTCGGGCTCAATACCGTAGTTAGGGGCTGGACACTGAATCCATCCTACCCCCTCTTTAATCAATTTTTTCGCTATGGCGAACAGCACACACAATGATCTCCAGACTACCATTGTCGCCTACGCGAGGTCGTGATAAAAAACCAACAGCTCCGAAGCATGGGAAGGCGTCACAGTCGCAGTTCTCAGGGATCGAGCACCTGGCCTGCCGAGTTCGAGAAACTTCTGGAAACACGGTAGCTGAACGCAGCCATTGACCGCTGGCGACGTTCGTATGAGCGGTCATCTTCTCCCCAGAGGAGCTCGACTTCCTCTCTCCGCCAGACTCTACCTCCTCGCGCTGCGAGGTCTTCAAGGCGTGGGCCGAGTTCGTCATTGTGTGGTGCGCTCGTCCTAACCATTGGACATTTCCACCCCCGTTTTCCTTCGCACGAATGGCCCAATTTCTGCACCCTTTCTGGTGGGTGCATGGATCACTGAGACCGATTCGCCACCTGATTCGTGGCAACATTGGTTACCGCCTTCTTCGGACTGCCGTGTTAGGGAAATGACGGGCTATAAAAGCCGAAAACATTTGTACATAATAGCTTAATCTCTGTACAGTGTCATCATCTTTCTCATCATGTAAATGAATCATCCTACTATCTCCAAGAACGCGTCTTCTCACTGCCAAAGATCGGCTATGTGGACGACGGCGGGGAGCCTGCTACCGCAGAAACCCGCCACCAACTCCGACATCCTTTACAACAGGTGGCAACGATGATGCCATCAACCACATACCCTTTACAGCTTCTATACCACCAGAAAGCTGGGGAGCTGTGCGAGGCCGTTGTCTGAAGCACTACATCGTTTCATTTCAGTTTAAATTGATTGCGAACCTCGTTTTCTTTCAAACTCGGCGATGAACAAATATTCGGGAGGGGGGGGGGGGAGGTGTGTTCCGCGGTGAAACTTGCATCCTCAGTAGCGAAGAACACTGCGCGCGCGCGTGTAATCAACGCCGTGTTGCCGCTCCTTCATGCTTTGGTTTTACAAAAAATTAGTGAAGGCTGTTAATGGTGAGATCATGCAGAGGCGTGCCTCCGAACAGCAGAGATGATTACAGCCAGAAAAGAAACTTACATTTCAAGCGCGACCGCTTCGTGTAAGACTCGGCTTTCAATACCCCTAACACGCCGCGCACATTCACGGGAAATATAATCACCCCGTGTCTGTGTTGTGTATACGCCAGCACATCAAACGAGCAGCGTCGGTAATTAGTCGACCGAAAAATTCTCTCAAATATTCGTTCATTTCATTTAGTACACGACTTGCTTCACAAACGACGCCATCGGTACGGCGCAGCTGGCTCGGCTGCACAGAAATGAGGCGGCATAAAGCTCGGCGAACAGGGCGCGCTATTCAAAGGAAAAGCCTTTCGCAGAGCGAATGGCGGTATAGCGGAGAGCTTGTGTAGTAGACGGATTAGGTCGTTGCATATTGAGGTTTCCGTTCTGCGATTCGCTGATCATCGCGAAGAATACATCCTGCTGAAGGATGCATGTGTACGTCGACTAATGCAGCTGAAGGATGTATACATCGATATGTGCTCGACTATATGTAGGCACACTGTATTGAAATCCGCGTACAAAAACGCGGAAGTTTATTAGCAAGTGCAATGAATTCCTTATGCGTTAGCGATGTGGGATTTAGGTGGTGGGTATATGTGAGCTGAAAGCGAAAGTCTGAATGCATTCGAAAAGAAAGCGATGAAAAACAACAACTTAGAATGGCGAATTTCCAAGCTCTTTTGCTTATTCAGCGGAGCCGTCCTTGTCATTAAAGTAGCATTCTTTCTCCATGGATTAAGTAACTTATGCTAGGGCAACGTTATTGCGGATTGAACATGCCACATAACAGTAGCTTGAAAACACCATTTCGTGACATCAAGTGTTTTTGTGAGAAGATCAGCGTAAAACACGCGCACCGCTGTACCTACGGCTTGTTCCTAGCTGAAACGTCTGCTTCCACTTTTACGAAAAAAAAAATGAAAAATCCAGGCCTGCACTGAACACACAGCGCAGTTTCAGTGAAAGCTGATAGAGCTGCCTTTCTGCAGCCTTTTTTAAGCACTCCTTTGGTAACTGCTACAAGCACGCTTGCAGGGTACCCACAGTGCCATAAATCATGAAAATATTTTTCCTCTCTTGGCCTTTTTGTTCAGACCAATATCAGTAGAAAGGCATCCACTACGCCATTCTTCGGGAAGAGTGGTACCCCCTGCTCAATAGCAAACAAAAATTATGTGCATTTTGTTGATGCTGTGGCTGACGACGACGAAAAATTATGCCTTAGGCTTTTATAATGGGTTGAAGCATTTGATGACGCTTTGGTTACGCAACTAACATTGCGCGATGCCTGCTTGTTCCCTTGCTGTTCAAAAACGCTCTGTTACACATAATAACGAGATTCTTTATCCTGCATGAAACCTGCCTATTGTCCCTTTACAACAGTGTTTCAAGCACCAGCGTAGCTGTGGTATGTATTAATTATAATGCGTATTTGAAATTATAAGAAGTGCTGTGACGTAATGACGCATTCACTCAGCGACAATAATCTCATAAGTATAGCACAAGCATTCAAAGGCTTATCTACATATATTGTGCAAGACGAGAAAAAGAGAAAAATGTCCCCAAGACTTGTCGCACACGTAGATTGTAAAGGATATGCACCTCATCAAGATGGTGTGCCAGCTTGGTTCGAAGTATTGTTCGTAAATGTCCTTTAGAATGAGAGACATACGCATGACATACATACTTGAAGCAGTGGCTGGTTCTGCATCACGGTCTTGCATGCGTGTTTTTCTACGGAAGGTTTATTCTCATAATATTTGATAAAGGCTCTCATCGTAAATTACTTTTCAAGCTTGAAAGATCAGGAATAAGCGAAGAAGTATTAAGATGGATAGAGGCTTATTTATCCGCACGTCAACAGGCTGTAGAAATTGAAAATTACACTTTAAGATCACTGGCCGTGTACTCGGGCGTTCCCCAAGGATCTGCTTTAAGACCAATTCTTTTTCTGATATTTGTTAATGATCTATGCTCAATAGTTGAGGCTCCCATTAAAATGGAACTTTTTGCAGATGACTCCTTGATTTATTCCCCAGTTACTTGTGAATGTGACCAAATTAATTTGAACAGGTGCTTACAGGCATTAGATCAGTGGTGTATAATATGGGACATGGAAATAAACTATAGCAAGACGACATCTACGCATATTCACTTTAGTGGGCGTGAATTGTCATTCATGTATCACATCGGGAGTCACCCTTTAAATAATGCCGATTGTTTCAAATACCTAGGAGTTAGTATTATGCACACATTGAAATGGCACTCGCATATCAATAACACCTGTTATAAGGCAAACAAAAAACTGTATTTCCTAAAAAAACCTGGAACATGCTACACCAGATGTAAAACTAACTGCTTACAAAACATTCATACGTCCTGTATTACAGTACGCTAGTATTGTATTGTCGCTTCACCAGAAGGTGTTGTGGACAAAAATTGAAAGAATACAAAAATTAGCAGTCCGTTTCATATGCGGTAAATACCGACGCACACACTCAGTCACAGCTTTGTTAAAGTCCTGTGAGCTTGAGTCTTTGGAATATCGCATGCGAAAACATAGCCTCAAATTTTTTTTAAAGATTATAAGCGGGCAAACAAAGATAAATAAGGATTTAAATATTCAGCCACCAGGAAGGCGATGTGATCGTCTTAATAATAGTAGAGCATTTCAACCTTATTTCACACGCACGAATGCTTTCCGCCATTCCTTTTTTCCAGACACAATAGATATGTGGAATAGATTACCCAATGCGGTTGTGCAACAAACAACATCAGTGGATTTTGAAAATGAATTGGATGGTTTTCTTTGTAGTGATGCGTGCTAAATTCTGTTGTCAGCATTTATTCGTTGTGAAATACCACGGATTCAGCTGACGCTTTATTCAAGCAACAGCGAAATGGCGCCGATGATGAAGAGGAACGGGCGAAGACTGATGATGGTTATTGACAGATGAGGATGACGTCCAATGAATTCTTACACTAATTTCCCCCGTCGATGGAAGCGGCCAGCCTGGCCGCGAATTACGCTGGGGAACGCATACGATAGGGCTTGAGACGCAAAACGTGAACAATCTCTGTCCCGCTGCAGCGTTGGTCAGTGGGGACATGAACAGGTGTGACAAGGTAGTTCACCGGTGAGGTCTCTTCGATAACTTTGTAGGGGCCAAGATAGCTTGACTCAAGCTTCTCGCATAAGCCAGGCGTTCGCGCAGGAGTCCACAGAAGTACATCGTCACCAGGGCGGTAGAGAACGACACGGTGAGTGGCATCGTAACGATGTTTGCGATCTTCTTGGCTAGCTTCGGTGTTTACATGGGCAAGACGACGGCATCGAGCAACACGGGACAGAAACTGGTCGCAAACGAATGGTGAAGAGTTGACGGGGCCAGACAAAAAATGAAACGTCGAGTGGCGATGTCGGTTGGCGTCCGTTTACTAGGAAGGCCTGTGGTTCGTTGAACTGACGTATTATATGCATACGTGACAAAGGGAAGTATGGCATCCCGATTGCGATGGTTCGGTCGGATATACATGGACAGCATGTCACACAGCGTGCGATGAAATCTTTCCGTTAAGCCATTGGTTTGCGGGTGATAGGTTAGATGCTGTTTTATGAACTGTTTTTGATGCTTGAAGAACTTCACTGAGCGTGCTTGAAAGAAATGCCTTGCCCCGGTCGCTCAAAAGAACACGAGGGGCTCCGTGACGTAGGTAAATAGAATGCAAGAAGAAAGTTGCTACTTCCGAAGCAGTTCCTGAAGTGATCGAGGCCGTCTCAGCGTACCGGGTCAAGTGATCAACCGCGGTGACGATCCATCTCTTGCCGTCTGATGCAGTTGGGAGGGGCCCGAAGAGGTCAATTCCGACGACAGAGAACGGCTCTGATGGACAAGGAAGTGGTTGTAGGGACCCGACTGGAGCAGTAGTGGGCCGCTTGCGGTGTTGGCAAAGTGCGCACGAGGCAATATATTTAGCTACCGTCGTGGAAAGACCTGGCCAGAAGAATCGGCTGCGGATGCGCTCGTATGTTTTGTAGTAACCCAAGTGTCCTGACGTCGGGTCGTCGTGGGAAGCGCGCAGAACTTCAGTGCGTAGTGCGCGTGGTACGACGGGAACCCATCGGTGGCCTTCCGGGTGGAAAATATATCGATGTAGCACATCGTCCTCCAACTTGAATAGTCGAAGTTGTTTCCGGAGTCTGGCATTTGGGGAAGATGAAGCGCCGGTAAGCCGACCGATGATGTCAGTGCAATAAGAATCGGCT